CTTTCATTTAGGGGAAATAGATTATACCCGCTCACTTCAGCTGGCGGGTCAGCTCTCATGGTGGGTAGGTGAGCCAACCATATAGTTGGTGGGCCCTAAATATTTTCTCTCTCTAAAGTGGGGGTCAACCAAACGCTATCCATTCTAGCCAGTCTCCTTTGGTCTTTAGGGCTTCAGGCTCTCAAGTCGGGAAATCCAATTCGAAAGAAAGCCCTATTCATTCTAGGGGGTGCAAGCTGGAATGGCATAAAGTCACGATAGCTGCCTTGCCTGAATTATTCATTCAGCCCGTACGCTTCTATTGGCTACTGGAAATAGGGTTACGCGAGCTGTAGGCTATCGGGGAGAGGAGACTTATTAAATCCCTCTTAAGTAGAAGAAGCGACTTTCACTGGACCGGGAAAGACTTTGACGCTGCTTAGACTATCTAACGTACCAATATCCGAAAAAGGGGGTACGCATAAGGCTATTCAGTTATCCCAAACGTCAAAGCATATAGATCGATTCCTAACAGTTTGCACATGGGTAAGCCCAGGAACTTATTAACCACGATCTTACAGAATGCCCTCTTCTTTGCAATAGCAATAATAGGCTGTTCCGGTCCCTTTACTAGTTAGCGCTCCATGGATCCTTGTCCTTTTTTACCTAATTCAATTCCCGGTTTGTTTCGCATCTTTCGATGAGAAGGAAGATCTGATTAGCTAGAGACAGCAGATATGATCAAGAGTTAAGCCAGTTAAGGTATCCCACCTCGAGAAAGAGTAAGCTGCGACTACAGAATCACCTGTTCGAGAATTTAGCTAGGTCCCTCTTAAGATCATTTCTATCTCACGAATTGGATTCGAACCAATCTGACGTTCCTTTCTTGCGGCGGGTCCGAGGTTGAGGCAGGCTCCGGCTTATCTTATTCGAAATCTTATCTTATTCTAAATAAGGATCGGTTACCCCTCTTTTTGTTCATTCAGGGGAAGGTGACTTACAAACTTCTTAGCCCGCTGTCTCTTCTCTCAATCGTAATTCAAGCTCAACGAAAAGCAACAAGGGAAGCTAACACAGTCAGTGCAGCCAGCCAGTCCAAAGCATGACGAAATGGTCCGTTGGAATCAAACGCACAATGGGAAGTGGGAGATATACTTGGAGACAAATGGTACTTGGGAGCTGCGCCGCTTCAAGAGGAAACCCGGGAGTCGATCACACGAAAACTTTGCAGTAACCCTACTCAGCACCAATAAGTGACCATACCTTAGCGAGGGAGTACTCAGCGGGTAATCTCTTTAGACTTTAGAGAAGAAAGTCCTAAACAGCAAGGTCAGTCAATTCTTTTAGGAAGGATCCCCCATGCCATTGATTAAGTTGAGTTTGGGAAGGCAATCTCCTAGGATAAAGACTTATTTTAGCGGACATTGCTTCTACGTAGTTTCGTACCCTTTCTCTTTCATTTAAGAAAAGAAAAAACTGTTGTTTCCAGGTCGAATAACAACCTCTCGAATGAGACTCGAAAGACGAAACTTGGATCGAGGATCGAAACTTGTCCTTCGGACAAGGTCAGCTAAATCAAGCTAAGCTCATTTACGAGAAAATAGCAAGACTTTAGGAACAAGGCATCATTTTCCTCAAAGACAGCTGCTCCGCCCGAGACGAAAGCTTTGATTGGGACTCCTTTCTACTTGTTCAAGTAGAGCTTATTAGGAGGATACTCCCTTTCTCGCCTGAAAGAAGATCCGATTAGTCCATATTGGTGGGGCCTGAAGCTTGAGCCTGACCTCTCAGTCGTGATAACAGCTCTTTCTGTGCTGAAACAATATCCCAAAAGACCAAAGGCTGAGATTTTAGATCCTTCACTGCTGAAACCAAAAGCCGATTCCTTGTAGTCCTACTGCCTATAACAAGAAAAACAAGCTTACCTCCCTCTCACTTTGTTCGAGTATAGTCTATTCTCACTTCTCCCTACGGTCGAGTCTATTCTAACCTGGGCTTACAAGTTTCACTCTCTATTAATTAGCAGCTGTCCATGGACTTGCTGTACCTATACTCTCTTTTGTAAGGAGCAGGACAGGATCGGACCAACCCAATCTTCTATTAAAAAAGCAGGGTAAACCCACTCTATCTATTTCTCTATCGCGGGAAAGCACTCAACTGACGAGGAGATTGAATCCGCGCCAGGATATGAATGAATAAGTTTCCTACCAGAAAGAAGTTCCTAATCTCTGCCATTGCAAAACCCCGACATATTTTATTTGTCTCAATCCTAACCTCATATTTATAAGCTAAGCAAGTCCAGTGCTACAGGCTTCATTCGACAAAACAAAAGGAGATGGTTCTCTTGAGAGGTATCGGGCACGGTTGTGTGCTTCTTACTTAATTGAAGACTGTCGTGCTGACTCTTTCGCGCCTAACCCTATTTCGATTTGGCTTGGTAGTTCCCCGTCGGTTCTGTACAAAGCAGGTTGACGACCTTACAAAAGCCCTAAAAGACCCAATCCCTCGGCCCGGGACCCGCGCTAAGCCTCAGGGGCACAAGTTTTTTTTAAGTCTTTTCTCACGGAAGTTCATTTCAGTTCGGTTGCGAAATATATAGCTATCAAGCTGGTGGGACTGGAACTCAACCTTAAAATTCCCTTCCCAAGCTACGCAGCGAACGAATTTGTAGCTCCTTCTGCCCTTTTCTAGTCTAAGCTCACATTCTAGGGATTCCAGCGAAAAGAAGTAGTAGCTCCTGCGATAGAAGTTGTTGGTGCTCTTACCTTAGTAGCTGCTTTTGTGGCACTCTTCTGGGTCTCCCGAAAAAAGCTAGTGTAGCAGCCGTACCTGCAGTTCCTGCTGAAGCTCTTTCCACTGCTGCCGCAAAACCCGCTGCTTCTTCTAGCGAAACTTGTTGCAGCTCCTCTTCCTGCTCTATCTGCTGCTTGGTCTCTGTCTGCTGCTGGTGGCTCTTTGAGCGCCCCTTTCCCTTCTTTTATAGGGGAAGAAGATGTTGGAAAGGCCGCAGTCGTAGCTCTAATAGTCAAGGCAGCTTTCCCCGATTCACCTGCTAGAACTGATTCAATAGAGGAGTACGGCACAAGTAGCAGCATTCCGACGATTCAAGGGCATAAGAAGCTTTAGAGCTGGGAAAGTTGCCGAAGAAATTGTATGCTTGGGCTTCTGACCAGTAACTATAGTAGGGTCGGGTATAAATTATTCATTGAAACATTCCTGACCTTCTCTAATATGAGCTAAGGAATGGGCTTCTTTTTCCTCTGTTGCCCGGGTAGAAGAAAGGGATGAGACGTCTGGAAAGAGAGGAAAAGAATGTTTATTTATTCTTCTGGGGACTTCAAAGAGCTAAACCCCGGTCCTTTTTCTGCCCGAGAATGTAGAATTTAGATTCTATTCTATTTGGCTCTATATGGCCTTCTAATGCTCCTCATGTGGAGAATCCCATATGAAAGAAAGAAAGGTGGTTTTCTCAGTAAGAATCTAGCTGTCTGCTCGCTATCTGCGTCTCGTGTAAGGGCATAAAGAAGTGACTCGACTGAAAGGAGAGGGATGAAGTGAACAACATATTTGAGATATACCACAGATACCATTTTCACCAGAGCTGAAACCTTTGAATTACCCGATACTGATTTCACTCCATAAGACATCGACTCACTAGCTGCTTTTAGAGCAGACTAAGAATCAGGTACGGAAGGAAGTAAAGGTGAAGCAGGCTTTCTATCTTCTTTGGAAAGATGGGCCCTGGAGCCTGGGATCCGGCTGACGTATAGGCCTATGCACTGTAATTATGAAATGAATGGCTGCGGCAAGTTAGGACTTGATCGAGGGATCAATTGACTCCGGAACATAAAGTAAGAAGACCGGAACCCAACGAGCGTAATACTTGGAGCGAGCCTAAGATGGACTATAAACCAACAAAAAGCAAATTTCTTGCTTCGGGGGAGATTCGCTGCAGCTAGATTGCTCTCTTGATGCTCGATTCCTCAGTCGGAGGGAGGGGGATAGCGAATGTGGGTTCGAGGGGCCCAGATGAAGCAAATGCATAAGGAAAGTCTGGTTCGGTTAGCTTTTTTGTCGAGTAAGGGATGCGCACTTCTTTCTTTCATTCAGGTGGTTCAGCTCGTCAAACTCATCAAGGGATCAATCCGGGAGGGAGTCATGTGAGCAGTTCTGAACATTACACCTTGTAGAACTTTAGTAAGTAAGGGAACGAACCTCTGATAGCCCCAGTGAAAGATACTGCTCAACCTTGACTGGACTGCCATAACAATTGATGGGTAGGAGCCTACTCTAACTAAGAGCAGCTTCTCCTCCACCGGAACCTGGTTCCGATGCTTGCTAGGACCAGGAGATGAGAGATTTGAGAAGGGCTTTTCACACCTCAGAAAGCAGATAAAGCTAGCTCATTCAAACCAAACAAGAACTTCTTATCAAAAGCAACCATCCCCTTTCACTGGCACAACACAAGCAAAGAGGGAAAGAAGCAATCTACACGGATAGAATTGCTCGCTACTGAATAGCAAAGAAAGGAAGTTCCGGGAGAATAGAGTCATTTTGCCTAGTTGGAATCGAAGGAGAAGGTGAGGCATTTAGATCATGCATGGATGAGAGACCCTTGCTTGAGGGCATGAAGGAATTCACAAGAGAATCAGGGGCAACTGTCAGCAAATCCAATCAGGGGTACCCTGCTCTCTGAAGTGAAGGAAGTTCGTGACCTAATAGGAGTGACTGTTGTCAAGCAAGCAGAAGGTTACAGGCAAGCGGGGTAGTTCATTCATTTCAGCCAGTCCCGTGCTCATCCGCATTTCAAAAGCAGGAAAAGAAGACCCTGCAACTCAACTCAAACCTCAAGGAAGGAAGGAGAGGCGGGTTGGCTGTAATAGAATAAAAGATTAGGTAGGAGATGCAGGACCTGTTTTAACCTATAGTGCATTCGCTATTCGATTCCATCCTCAATCCCCAAAAATGTGGATGGAAAAGTGTCTATCTCTTCTTTACTTTTAAGTGAGAAGGGGGGAGGG